GTCACACTGTGCACAGGTATCAATCAGGCAGAGAGACCATTTAAGCACAGATCAACCGACAACATCAGGAAGTAGGGGGACTGATTATCCTGGTTCACTAGGTGCTGAGGGGATAGGTATTCCTGGGTATAGGACTTTGAATCTCGAAACAGGGAAAGTCCTGGGCAAATTGACATAAATTGGTTATCCTTGCAGAAATGTTCTTTACTTTTTCCAGTAAAGTACATTTAAAATTGGGGGAAGGGAGGCACTATAAATCAACTGGCTCATTAAAATAATGGACTAGTAGTTAAAAATACACTCATTGTTTAAAAGGACAAATATTAATATGGCAACCAATGTTTCATATGAAAATCAAAAACTCAAGTTGACGAGTAAAACATTTAACACCCATTAAATCCAACATTAGTGATTTAATTTCAACAAAACATCATCTGTTGCATTTAAGTCGTTAATTACATTTTATTAATGTTATAGTTCTATTTGATTTTAATTTGTAATTTTGTTTGGGTTGCATAAAGACATGGAATTTATAGCTAAAATTTTACATTTGTATGTATTTAAGTAACACTGTAATCAAATGAATTTGGGCAAACATTGAGGCTTCAGGAGAATTAATTTTCCTTTAAAAGAAAATTACATTTAATAAAATTCCGCACAACAATTCCATGAGGTAGTTCTTATTCCCCTCATTTTACAGATGAAGAAACTGAGACTACAGTCATACTGTAGCAAGTCATCTGTGAAACCGAAACTTGCACCCAGATTAGGCTGGGCTCAAAGTCTGTGAGGCCTCACTTGGAGTGGGCAAAGATGGCATATGGGAGCCTCGCGGTTGGGTGGTGTGAGGGCTTCTGAAAGCCAGAAGGCAACCCAGGAACTTCACGGTATTCAAAAGACAGGAACAGGGCTGCAGAAGAGGCCAAATGGGCCAAAAAGGTGAGGCAGGACAGAAAGCTTGACCAGGGTCCCTCCCAGCGGCCCACAGACACCTCAAGATTCATCCGTTCCTTCTCTAAGAAGCCCTGTGCTGGCTGCTAAGGAGAGAGATAACTAAGACCGTATGCACCCTGTCTTCAAGGAATCTATGGTCTTGCTACTGTCTCTTAAAGGATGTCTGCCCGTAAGAGGGTTGATTTGAAAGTCTACAGAGCTCCCATGTCCACCCCTGCCTATATTCAGCAAAAGTTAGCCCAATAGCCAGTGGAGCAATGTCTACTCACACTCTGCCCCTCTCTGTTAGAAAACAGAAAGGAAGGGAAGAGGAAAATGGTAGAAGCAGCAAAGAGATCTATTCAATAGTTACCCATTCAAGAAATATTTGTGGCATACCTACCACAGTAATGGAGCTATCCTAGGTGTTTGTGGGGCATAAACGATCCAGTTCTTGCTGTCAAAGAGTTTTTAATCATAACAACAATAACTGCAGGAAACACTCAAACAGGCACTGCTTTTAAGTGCTTTACATATATTAACCCCTTCAATCCTCAGAGTGGCTCTATGAGGTAGGTGTTATTATTATTATTCTCATTTGATTAAGCCATAAAAAACCTAAACAATTCATCCAAGATCACACACACACAGTACTAAGGGTAAAGTCAGGATTGGCACCCAAGCACTCTGGCTCCAGAGGCCACCATGCTCTTACCTACTACACTACAATATATAGTAGCTAAATGCCGGCTTCAAGACAGTGGATTCCCCACCGCCATCCTCACTCAGCCTTAGCAGGGTGCTGCAAAGAGCATGGACTTTGAAGTCAGACATGGGGGCAAATCCAGGCCTGAGAGCAATCCTTGTCAGCCTCAGTTTTCATGTCTCTAAAATGGTCATAATAAAAACTGGGCTATTTTTGGATTAACTAGAATAACACATAAATTGCTTTCAATTTGTAAAAACTAATTTGCTCTGAAACTATGAACACATCCCTGGCACCTCCTGAAGGCCTGCTCTGTCCTGCATTAGCTGGAGAGTCTTTTCTAACTTAAACTATAGGCCAGAAAGGTGAATGGAAGGTTACTGAAGCAAGAAAACACACATACGGCAAACGGTCAGTAAGCTGAACTATTTCATCAGAAAACTGAGGAAAAGAAGAAACAGAAAATGTACTGACACTTTTGTTCTAAATGCTCACACATAAAGATTTTACTTTACCTCGTGTTTTCAGAAACACTCCAGATATGCTAAAGAAGTTCTCTGGAACTTTAAATAGCAAAAGGACTGACTCGTGTGTGTGTCTGCGAGTGGGAGTGCAGGAATGGAAGTAGTTTGGGAAAAACATGAGAGTATTAAGCTTAAAGTCGTCGTTGTTACTCTCTACCTTTCTCTCCTTCCTCCTTCGATTCTCCAAAAGCTGGGGTTCAGAGAGAGACACTGTGTAGTCTTTAGATGCTTCTCCTGGGGAGCTATGTCTGGCCTACACCAACCCCAACTCCCAAGTATTGAAAATCACTGATTTAAAAACACTTGCTTTAAAATGGACTTTCAGTTCAAAAGAATGCTATGATCATATGTTAATATTTATGTAGTAAAAATTATGTGCTAATGAGAACAACTCTTCTAAGTCACCTATAAGTAAACAAAACGAAGGTGGAAACTATTGCAATACCCCTGTATTTTCACTTTGAAAGTGAAAAGAAAGAAGTTCTAACGATACTCTGTGATGATAAGACTTTGAAAAGATGCTTTTATGAATTCTATTGGTAGCACTGTAAATTGGAACATCTTTCAGAAGGCTACATGTCAATACAAAGCAAAAGTCTAAAGATGTTTCTACTCTGACCAATAATCCTACTCACAGGAAATTGTCCTAAGTAAGTTATTCAACAGAAATAAAAGAGACAGAGATAAGGGCTATTATTAGACTCACTTATTAAAACCAAAGCAAGTAAACAATCTAAACATCTCGGGATAGGCTTCTGATACAGCCTGTACCTTTCTCTATTGTACTGCTCAGCACATTTTAATGATCTGACGACATGAATAAAGGGGTTGTCTCTGTCTGGATTCTTGGCACATAATAAATGTAAACTGTAGGAACTAAGAGCAGATATCAAATATTTGTAATTTTAAGTAAGAATAACACAATATGTACACTAGAACTGAAACTGTAATATAGATACATGGAAATGGTGATACAAAAATGAAAATAGTTATATTAGGATGTAGGAATCATTGGATAACTTTTAAACTGCTTTCAGTGTTCTTTAATGTTGCCGTTTTAGTGACTCCTAAATATAAAAAGAGGGAAAATATCTACTGTTATATACATCAAACATGACTTCATAGTAGGGATGAAACGGTAACTACAAAAACTTGAGGAATCATCCCCTAGCTACCCACCCCCCAAGCACTCAGGTGCTTTGTTCAAGCGTAGAAAGACCCAAACTATTCATATGTCATAAGTAGCATAAACCTATTTTCAGTAAAAATTTGAAACAAAGGCAGTATGTTTTAAAGAGACAAGGGAAAGTCCTCTAAAGCAATCCCTCCTTTGGCTAGTGAATTTGCTGTTTCCTAACAGCAGGGGGTGCCAGAAGGGTCACTACTGTTCCCAGGAGAGGGCCCCTCAGTCCTGGTCAGAAAACGCTACAGGTTTTCCTCTAACAACAGGGACCTCTGGGTAAAACTCGCTCTAGAGACTTGAATAAACAAAAATTACATTTTTATTTTTATTAACTTCTGATACTTGGCATCTCCTTGAGTTATAAATGTAGTCAACAAATCCCAGTTGTAGTGGCAGTACTGGTGACTCTGTCACGAACAGAAAAAACACAGATGTCACAGAACACTACAGTTTTTGCAGATTTCTCAAGTATCATTTATACTCATCACTGCCTTTGAAGCGAGAGGCTTCAGGAGTTACTGACAGACTGGCTGCTGTATCTTGGTATTAAACGTATTAAGAAAGCCATACATATTACTGTATCACAAATTTGTTTAATAATTTCATAAATATTTAAATGTAATGGAATTTTCTTTCTTTTTTTTTAAAATATTTTTATTTATTTCTAGGAGAGAGAGAGATAGCATGAGCAGGGGAGGGTCAGAGAGAGAGGGAGACACAGACTCTGAAACAGGCTCCAGGCTCTGAGCTGGCAGTCAGCACAGAGCCCGATGCGGGGCTCGAACCCACGAACCGCGAGATCATGACCTAAGCGAAAGTCGGACGCTTAACCGACTAAGCCACCCAGGCGCCCCTGTAATGGAATTTTCTTATATTCCTGTGGATTTTATTTCCTGCATTTACAAACACTCTTCTGGAGGGGCGCCTGGGTGGCTCAGTAGGTTGAGTGTCCAGCTCTTGATTTCAGCTCAGGTCATGATCTCATGATTGGAAGAGGGATCGAGCCCCGAGTTAGTATCTATGATGACAGCACGGAGCCTGCTGGAGGGATTCTCTCTGTCCCTTCCTTCACTGCTTGTGTGCACTCTCTCTCTCAAAAGAGAAAAAAACAAACAAAACAAAACAAAACAAAAAACCTAAAAAATATTTTTCTGAAAGGGTTTTTATAGGCTTTACCAGACTGCCAAAGGCACAGGAAACTTAACCCCTTATCAGTCTAAAGGAACACAACTGAGAGGAAAACTCAAATATGATTTGAAACAAGTTGGAGACAAAAATAAGTATTTTCAGTCATGAGACAAAAGTAGTTGCAATGCACAGTTTTCATTTAGTTTGGAATCTGGAAAGAGAAAGGAAACTCAGAATTTCTGCTTCACAGCCTCCAAAATACCCCACCCAGTATGTCCAGAGGTGTGGTTCACAGATTATTATGTTCAGAGATCTGCCTAATGCAATCCCCTACTACAAAGCAGTCTGTGTTTAAACTAGATGCAGATGCGTAAAATACAATGCAAATGCTGTCCCAACATCTCTCTGGAAGTAGTCACTACAAATGGACATCCAGATACCTAATATCATCCATACAATGAGCAAAACCAAAAATTCTAAAAGGGAGAGATGAGATACTGAAATTAATAACAGGGTCAATACTCACATTCGAACAAAGAGTGACTCTTTAGATGTCAGACCAGGAGATGAATACTTTTCAACCAGGGCCAAAGTACTGAAGCCGAACTTATGAATGGGCTCGTTGGAATCCAGAGGGGGGAAGTCGGTGTCAACCTCCCCGTCATCCTCAGCAATATGCAAGCAGTAGGCACTGACATTGTCACTGAAAGGAAAATCAAAACGGTGAGTGAATACCGTGATGAAGGAGGGACAAGGAGATCAGAGGCTATGGTATACAGCACGCAAACTGGGACCCTGCTCTTCTTTTACCCAAAAGCCTAGTGAAGCAGCTAGATTACCCTAAATCCTACTTCATTTGATAAAGCGACAACATGGGAGGACAAAGGGGATGAAAAGCAATGTGAAACAAGGGTCTTTCTACTAATCTATTCTTTCAACAAATATTTACTGAGCACCTGTTATAGGTAACACACAGAACTTAGTCCCTTAAATCAAAGATGATATTTAGTATCAGCCCTCAAGGAAGCTTATGGTTTAGGAGGAGGGAAAAGTAAGTACTATGTTAGTTAAATAGAAGTATAAATAAAATACACACAGCAAGCTCTGATTCCAAACACCAAAGATACTTAACAGAGTAAAAGCAAATGACCTGATTTATCCTGATGCAGATAAATGGCTCTCTCCACTACTTTTGGACTTTTGTCCTATCCCTAGAATGTCCAGTCTATACTTCCACATTCCAGCCTTGCCCATTTTAGAGTCAACACACACTTCCTTCTTTTTCTTTGGCGGAGAAGTAAAAAGTTGATTTGCTGAAAAGGGGTAGGAAACTGTACCAACATAAAGACAATTTAAAACTTAAAAATCAATTAGAAACACTTTAAAACACCTTACTCCAAAGTTAAATTGTGAAACTGCGTATCTGCTAGCATTCAGAAACCTGATCCTAATAGTTCACAAGGCAGTAGGGTTCTAAATTGTGCAGCTTAAATTTGGAGTCTTAATTATATGATTGATGCTTAAATTAATTAATTGCAAAGTGTATGCTAATTGTTTAATTGGTTGCTTGATCTATATAGATCATTTTTTGAATTAAATGAGTTGATTTACAAAGTTTATTGATTGGATGTGACAATGAATTATTTCACTGACTACCTGATTTGCAATTTTCCCAATTAATTCACAAATCTTTAGCTGCAACTCTGGTTATTGAGAGAGAGCCTACTTCAGGTGATCTATACTCAGTCTGTCATGACTAAGAGATATTTATTATATAAAACAGGTAATATGGACAGATTAAAATTAATGGGAACTGTAAATTTGCTAAGTGGATGGATAACAAGAAAGTAATCTGGCTATGTTTGTCACTATAAATTTCATGTATTTGCAACGCTGTTAAGAAATTTAAAATTCACCTTTGAATGATATGGGAAACTTATGGATCTTTGCAAGAGGTTACTAACTATATATAAACACCAGACCCCTGTAGGAGAAGAAAGTCTACTAGATAAGAAAAATGTCATGGTATAGTAGCTAAGAGCTTTGTGTCCAGAAAGATCTGAGTTAAAACCTAAGCTCCAGTGCTCACGGGCAATGTGATTTCAGAAAATAAGCTTCGTCTTCTTGAGTTTTAGTTTCTACTTCTTTTTTTTCTTTTTTTAATTTTAGAGAGAGTGAGCGAGCGAGAGAGAGAGCGAGTGAGGGAAAGGGGCAGAAAGAGAGAATCCCAAGCAGGCTCCACACTCAGTGCAAAGCCCTGGGATCATGACCTGAGCTGAAATCAAGAGTTGAATGCTCAACTGACTGAGCCACCCAGGTGTCCCCTTTAGTTTCTGCTTATATAAAAAGACAAGAACCTAACTCAGAGGTAGTTATGAAGATAAGATAATATATGTAGAGCCTACCATATAACAGAGGTAAAAAAAAAAAAAAGTGGTATGGTAACTATAATAAAGTCAGATGGAAAATAACTTTGTTACATCAATCCTTAAAGAGAAATTGCAGATGCATATTAGTACCAACAAAACAACAATGAAACTAAGCGACAAGTTCTGTAGTTAACATGTCCACCATGCTCCAGCCTTGGGGCCACTGAGCCTCCAGGGTTTTACGAACAGGGCAGACGCTGATGAAGCAAGCAACGGACTGCAGAGATTATTTATTGCCGTGTAAATCATCCTGAGGAATGCCTGTGATTCCCCAGCACCACAGAGGTTTCAAGGGCAAATAATAAGCCTATTGATCAAAGCAGAAAGCCTAACATTGGTATCAGAAGAATTCTGCTTTGATTGTCATGGGGTGTCCCCAAATCCCCTTCAAAACAAGCTCGACAAATGTCACAGGCTAAGATCTGAGGGCCGAAAGATTCACTGCTGAGTGTTACTATTCTCCTCAGTTTCTAAAAACAAAGTGTGAAATCACTTATTCATTCAAAAAACCTGTAAAGTACCTACCCTGCACTGTAGCCTGCTCTGCATGCTGGGAATACAGCAAAGAAAAGAGAGAATGATTTCCCCTATATTATACAAGACTAATGGGACTCTTTTCTGGGTCTTGAGTAAAATTCAGCAGCAAACAGTACTCCAACCCTTTCTACCCCTTAATTGAATATCTGAGGGGAAAATGACTAAAACTCCATATTCTATGCATGGACATATTGGTTCCTTTGTGCCTTTATAAAGGAATCATTAACAAAAGAAGCTACTATGGTATTTTGACTTCTAAAACCTCTTCAGGATTCCAAATGAGTACTAGTGCAATAGCCATTAGTATCATTAGCTACATTGAAAGCTATGTGTCAGACTCTGTGCACAGCAGTATCGATAGGTATGTAAGCTCCCTGAATCTTCACACCAACTCTGAGAGCCATTTATTATTATATTTGTTTTACAAATTGGAAAAGTGAGCCTCAAGCGTGTAAATGACAGACTTAAGATTCAAACCCAGGCAGTTAAGACCCCTTACCCTTGACCCCCACCTATCCCTCTGCCAATTCCATGGTGTGTCTAGACTTGCCAAGGCCCTTGGGAACCCCTGCTCCTATGGAAATGCCACATACTTTTAAAAGGAGGAGGAAACCATGACATATTCCTTACAAAATATGAGAAGCTTAGAAAGATTTATTTCAACTCCTCACTTTTGCAGATGGGAAATAGATGGGTAGAAATGAGGAATAACATGCCCATGAAGACCCAGTTAAAAGTGGCAAAGTTGGGGCGCCTGGGTGGCTCAGTCAGTTAAGCATCTGACTTCAGCTCAGGTCATGATCTTAGGGCTTGTGGGTTCAAGCCCCCCATCGGGCTCTGTGCCTGGAGCCTGCTTCGAGTTCTGTGTCTCCCTCTCTTTCTGCCCCTCTCCCGCTTACCCTCTGTCTCTCTCTGTCTCAAAAAGAAATAAACACTAACAATTTTTTTTTTTTAAGTGGCAAAGCTGGTTCTGGAGAACTTAGGTTCCTCACTGCCATTCTAAGAGGCTTTGATTGAATCAGAAAACTGGTGGCATTTTCAAACAGGGAGAGAAAAAGGAGGAAGCTATGGTCCATGACTCAAGAATCACCCAAATACAGACATCTGGAACTGATAAAACAATGAAAACAGGGATGCCCCCTCCTTATGACCTAGTAATAGAATAATGGTTTTGCAGTCAGATCTGCTTTTAATGCTAACTCAACCACTAAGCAGCCATGTGACCAAATCTTTCTGAGCTCCTCCATTTTCTTATCTATAAAAAGCTTTCCTTGACTTCTCTAGGAGAATCATTTGATCTCTAGGAGAATCCAAGCGATTCTCCTCTGTGGTCGTTCAGAACTTGATCAATACTTCTGCACATAGTTACCACATCTTTTTCTTATTTATCATTCTATGTTCTCCTAAAAAGCAGGGATCCTTCTATTGTCTCTGCATCCTTCCTGAAGAGTAAGATGGCTGGCACTTAGAAGGCCCTTAAGAAATATTTGTTGAATGAATGAATATATCAATGTATAGACTGAATCACTCTACCTATGAAAAAACCATAAAGATATTATTAATGATGTTTGTACTAAAGAGAAGAGGAGAAGTAATAAGCTTTTCTTTTTCTTTTTCTTGCTTGTCACACTGATATCTGTTAACCAAGTGGGGCTTTCTAGGCAATGAACACGTGTCAGAGGCTGCAATCTAAGACAAAAGGAGTATTCCCAGGAAGAGGTGAGGATTAAAGAGGTATTTTTATAGTTCATCAAATTATGAGTATTGGCACCTCACTTTTTTTATGGAGAAAAACACTGAGAAATTATTACAACTATGTAAAAATGTTTAATTATATGGACACTAAAAGACTTGAAGCTACCAAAAAGTTTACAAAGGTTATGTTTACAATTAAGCAAACAACACTTTTTTTTTCTGTACCTTCCAGATGTCCCATAATGACTAAGTCTAACTTCCATCTTCCTTTCCTTATAAAAATAGTGAACTTATTTTTTGATAAGGGTAATAATGCATGATTAGAAACGTGACACAATTTAGAAATACAGAACAGCACAAAAGTTGGGAAATCGCTCATCCCATCTGTCCTAGAGATTCCGCATCTCCTGCCTCACCCACATCCCCTGATTCCTAAGTGCTAATTTTCTCTATCAGGTCCTGGGACTGTGAGAAAATAACCGTACATACCTGCTGCATAAGGGTCTTATGAGGATTAAGTGACTTAATTAATTGTACAGTGCCTGGCAGGAAAAAGGATTCTCATTTTGTCAAAATTTCTTCTACCACTCTTGAGCTTGATTACAAAAAAGCAGAATTAACTAACAGAAGCATGGTGGATAGCATGAGACAGAGAACACAGAGTCCTGTTTCTGAGTCACTATCAGAGACTGAGTAATGATAAAAGACTAATAAACAACCAACAGTTTGTTCTCTATATTTAAGAGGTTTTTTTTTGTCTTTTAGTCTTTTTCATTTGCTTTCTTAAATCCCACGTATGAGTGAGATCATATGGTATTTGTCTTTCTCTGACTTATTTCACTTAGTTATATCCTCTAGACCCATCCATGTTGTTGCAAGTGGCAAGAAGTCATTCTTTTTTTTTTTTTTTTTTTAATGTTTTATTTATTTCTAGTAGAGAGAGAGAGACAGCATGAGCAGGGGAGAGTCAGAGAGAGAGGGAGTCACAGACTGAAACAGGCTCCAGGCTCTGAGCTGGCAGTCAGCACAGAGCCCGATGCGG